TTTCGGACATCCTAAAGATATTAAATGTTATGTTTATGCAACGGAGGTGACAATTTGAATAATAAATAAAGAATTATGCGAAAAGGCATTGCAATTCAAACACACGCTGAAGCTGAATCTGAAGAACTTATTTACAAAGGAAATAGTAACACAAAATCAGAAGCTTTGAAACTCTCGTATGTCTTCAGTATTAATCCAACTGTATCGATTGGACAAGAAATGTATTACTAATGGGGCACTAGATGAAACGACGATCTGGTGAAGATCGCGGGAAGCACCTGGATGCGGGAAGCACAGGACCTGTCCTGATGGAAACCCTTTGTCCAGCTGTGGACGTCATTTCGCTGAAACAAAGAAAATCATATACCTACACTCGTCTATTAGACCATGTCCGAAGTTTTTGGTTCAATATTCATTAGAAGTAACCAGAAGAGTTTACTTTGTACGAGTAAGTAGTTTTATCTTATAGTTCAACAACGAAGTTTCTTTTATTGTCACGCAAATAAGGAACTGCATTGCAATTTTTATACTTATTAGGTAATCTGCAAATGTTATATTTGGCAAGATATCATGCTTATTACCGAATCACATCTTAAAATATATTTTGCTTGATTGGGGTTATAAAAATAGACAAAAAGAGTAACCCCTTGGTCAGTGCTTATGGCGTATACTCAACTTGACAGAAATATTTTGTTCTTTCACCAAAATCCTTTTTATTACCGTACTAGCTGTGCCCGCGACTTTGTGCGCGTGTAAATAGTTTGAATAATATTTCCCGTTTTTGACTGTAGGGTGATGTTATATAGCCTAAAGCCTTCCTCGATAAATGGGCTATCCAACACAAAAATATTATTTCAAATCGGACCTTTACTGAGATTAATAACGCAAAGAAAGCAAGCAAACAAACAACAAACTCTTCAGCTTTATAATAATACTCGTAGTAGTATAACAAAGGCTAAGAACGAGGACTGGGGTAGACGACAAATTCAAATAAAATAAACTCCTGTAAAAAGAAACCCAACAAACTTCTTGTCCATCCATCCAAAGTTACAGCTTCTAAAATGCTATACATAATAATATGTACATCATATGTACCCCAAATTGTATCCTCCATATCATTTCATAGGTAATATACAATAGACCGTAATACTGTCGTATCTCTAGTACGTTTCCAGAACATTACCCGTGGATTCGAACCGCCTCGTAAGTCATATTGTGAACTGTTACAATGTATATTGTAATGTAATAAGGCATTTAATGTACAGTCCAAAGCACATGGAATTTTACATTTTTGTCGCAAAGTATCTAAGTATTACTACTTCATAGATACTCAAATTCCTTGTCCACTAATTATGAATCTGTCGGTTTAAATTTGATTTTATGACTCCGAAGATTTGTTTCGTCAGTGACTTGATAGATTTGACATTTGAATACTTGAATAAAGATACTCAAGTGTTCAAACACAAGACAAAATACTTTATCTCCCTAAAGGTAGATTCGACCAAACAAAAGTAAATATTAATCTCAGAATAAATTCTCAGTTTTGACATATTTCCCATATTAAGTTATTCTCGGATAAAAGTTTGGACGAATCGGGCTTAACTCGCGTTTAAAATTCCTACACACTACCTGCCAATTGTTTCTTCCGCCATTAGAGTGTTGCCAACTCGTATTTTGAAAAAGTCGTAGGACAGATTAGAAAATTACGTAGAAATGGTACAATTTCCATATAGAAAATACGTAGATCTACGTACTTTTTTTTCTGAGTGAAATGAAGAGAGTAGGGGTAGGTAAAAGTAATAAAACGACAATTTATATTACCCTAAAAGTAGTAAAGTACACTTTTACTGTGTATCATTTTCAGACAAATTAAATTTATACATAATTATATCTGTTGGAAAGAAGGAAGGAAGTTGAAAAATATCGAAATACAACAACACCTTCGAAATCTTAGCACAATCTTAGTTCGAAATATTTTTATAGTGAAGATTCACTTTGACCGTTTGACGGTTTACACCAGTTTACACACACTTTCACGTCACGTCACATTTCAAATTTCATCGTTTCATCATAAAGGAAACGATGCCCATTCAGCCTATTTTGCAAATTTGATAGAAAATACGTAGATTCTGGGACTAAAGTTCGTAGGTTTGCAAGGAAGGCTTAAAATACGTAGATCTACGTAAAAATACGTAGAGTTGGCAACCCTGATTAGGTACTCACTCAGCATATGCCGATATTTTCTCCCTAAGTGATGATTTGTTGTTAGGTGACATGCCTACTTACCTGGATAAGAGTCCAATAAACATTATAACATGATAATTACACACGCCGATATCAACCTTTCCTGTAGAGCCGTCGATTCATAAAACCGTTCATAACAATCCCAAATATTCTTTTGTACTCCTTTCAGAAACCCAATCGCACCGTAACTTCCTTCCATCCCACACACATTATTTAACCACGCAAATCCAACCCTGCCAGATGCAATTGGCTCAATTTTCAGTCGATTAGGGTTGAAACAAAGCGGCCGCGGGTTGAGGAATAACGCTGCATTAGCGAGCGATTATCGAAAAGAATCGAAGTGCGTTAACCCTGTCGGGATCCGACCCCTAAGCTGTGTGGGGGCTCAGTTTCAGCGGGTGGGAAATGAAATTGAGCCTTTTCAGGACTTTACAGAGTCACTTTTACTTCGTTTCAGCCCAGAGATCACACCTTCTTTGACACACTTCAAGATCAGGTGAACTAGGTTCTATAATTTTCGTGTAAAAGGATTATCGTCTTACAGTAAGTGAATTTTCAGGAATCGTAGCACGAAAAAATGCTTGGTCTTGAGTAATTTTTGTTTTTAGAGGTAACTTGGGACTGGGACAAACTTGTTCTTTACTGGTTGAGTATTATAAGCAGCCAAGCTGTAAACAGGTGATGGGAACGAGGGGTAGGAATAATCCCGTTGAAGGAGAAAATTTTATACTCGTAAGTCTTTCTGTCATCAGTTTTCTGGTACATCTGCCCATAGTACATTGCTTAGATTAACCGCTTGAGTCCCAGACGGCATTAATTAATGTCATAACAATTGATTATCTATTGTGTCTAGATTCGCGGGCCTTGAAGGATTAAGACTAAATGGCGTTGTATAAAGATGCCCAAGGATGCATTTTTTATTTTATCCGCTATCATCAAGTCCCCACTTTCCCACTTCCTAATTCGCGCGCTGCGGTGGCCGCCGGCATTAATTTCTGGAGACGGAGCCGACAGCCCAACTGTGGTCCGCGCCGAACTATAATAAATAAAATAAAAACTTTGTTTAATTTTCGACTAGATGGCGTCAACAAAGCCTTATTTTTATTAATAAAATCCGCCATAACTGAGTCCCCACTTTCCCACTTCCTAATTCGCGCGCTGCGGTGGCCGCCGGCATTAATTCTGGAGACGCGGCCGACAGCCCAACTGTGGTCCGCGCCGAACGATAATGGCTCCCAATTTCACACCTCGCAGGATTCTTTTGCAGCATACATTGTTCGCTTTTAATTTGGTTTGTTAGAGAGCAATTGATTTGATTATTATATTTTCAAACGATGGTCTCGAAATGAATTTGGACAGATCAATAAGAACTTTATTGGTACTGGAACAATCATTAACGTACAAAACTTTCCATATGTAAAGAAAAGGTTGCCGGCGCAAATGTGAATGTGATCAATACCGTAATTAAATTCCAACTAAAAAGTGAATGATAAAAAGATGATCACGCTGAATTGCATTACATCTATCATTAGGTGGATTAATAATTTTGCTTTAGTTCTTTAAAAAAAAGTAGTCTTTTTTTGTTCGGTTGTTGGCTTTACACGGCTTGTGTGTTGCCAAAAAGTAGTCTTTCAATCTATTTTCTGTCGTTGGTTACGCCCTTTGCTGTTAATGGCCACCTTGGTTTTCGTCACTGACTACAAATAAATAGCTATTTCTGTACATACACAGGACTAATCTCACTCAATACTAACAGTAGTGACGGAGTTTCTTGCGATGCGATTGATTCTGATCTCAACACTGGCCCGTTTGTTGTCCCGAAGCAGTGGTAGGGTTAAAGTAATATTAGGTCGTGTAAAAGACCTTTTTATAAGCCTACTTGCAAAATAAACTAATTCGAATTCACCTCTAGCACCCACGATTGTCACTCGTGTGTTGCCTAGCCAGGATGTAGAATCTGATAGGTTGTAGTTTTAAGATTAAGCGAAAACTTACGTCAATCCCAAGGGAAAGTATAATTAGAAGATAATAGTGAGAATTCGCTGAGCTTTAGTACGAAGCATAGTTGGATAAGTTATCTTATTAAAATCATTTTAGTTCCTATCACGTGAATTATGATTCAAATGTAATGTAAATTACTTATTAATTCGACGATAACAATACAAAATTCCAGGAAATTCCATTTAATTTCATCATAGCAGGCAATCCATAACCGCGTAGCGGCCGATCCAACTATCCTCAAGAAAATATGATTAAGAAACTTTTTTAATCAATAAAAGGAACAAAAAGGTGGAGGATCCGCTTCTCGCTTCCGGAGCTTTTTAGAGATCCCCTGATTGAATATGAAAACAGAATCGTTGAAATTAATTACTGTTAAATATAAATAGTATTCCTGAAATTGATCTTCCATGAAAGCAACACTGTAAATAAAACAGTTTTGTATTATGCAACATTGTAAAATTTTGATACATTAAATTGCGTAACATGTAGGGTAAATTGTAAAACTTATTTGTGGTAACTAAACCTAACAAGTCGTTGCCAAAATAAAAGACAAAGAAGACCTAGACTGCATCTTACTTAACTTTAGATGCGATTGCAGCCAACCTGCCTTGTTCTACATTGAAAAAACCTTTAAAACTGTCGCCAGCAGTTTACTTCCAGCGTGACGTCAAGAGGCATGATCCTTTATAGGGATCTGTTTGCTCCAGTATTCAATGACCATTACCATAGACTTACTTCTCTAATGTCCTGCAAATATGAACCAAATATGTACCCAGAACCTTCTCTCACACCACCTCGCCTACAGAACCCTGGTACCACTTGTGGGCAACCACTTGGTTTATTTTATTTTGCCTTATTTCTCGTTACTCGGCCCTCTCTGACGTCACACTTATAATCATTTACCTAGTGTCCGACCGAAACTAGTTTTACGACCGAAACCGAAACCGAAAACGAATTTCGGCAACGGTGTCTATTTCGGCCGAAACCGAAACCGAAACCGAAACTTCCTTACAAGACTCATATTTGAGGGAAAAATAAAGAAAACTTTATTATAAATCAGTCAGTCTTAGTCTTAGTCAATAAATAAATATCAATTACACTGCGCCGCTAGCCCCAAACTAAGCAAAGCTTGTACTATGGGTACTAGACAACGGATATAAACATACTTAAATACTTTTTTTTGTAAATACATACATATTATACATAGAAAACACCCAGACCCGTCACAGAAAATTAAAATTCATCATTTCAATTTCTGTCCGGCCGGGAATCGAACCCGGGACCTCTCGGCGTAGTAGTCCGTTCTGAACCACTACACCAAACGGCTGACTTTATTGTTTTCTCTTTAAATTGCATTAAAATTGAAGCGCCGTTTTACTCTAAAAGGTATCAAATTATGTATTAAAAAAGAAAAAGAAGGATTTATAGTCTAGATTTTTTTAATTACTCGCAATATTCAGGACATCTACATAACCCGTCCCATGGTCGGGTCTTTTACCTTAATAATTTCTCAAAACAAATTTGGTAGTACGTAAGTTAGTATCTACTGTAGGTACTTGCCACTTGGATACCTTGGTGATAATTATACTAAAATGAACTTTGAAACTCTGAATCCTTATTATTATCACCATGAAATGCACTATAGTCATTACTACTACCTAACTAATGTTTGTTTACGTATAGCATTTGCGAACCAAAAAAAAATTATAGGGTAGATTAAATTTGATTATACTTTTATCAGTCATATTGAATATTTTTTTTTATGTTTACTACCCGCTCTTATGTTATAACGACATAAAACGAGATAAAACTTACCAAATTCAAAATAAATCACTCGAAAACTCGCCACCACAACAAAACAAAACTAACAAGCAAACAAACAAGCGAGCGAATCACGACATTGGCTCTGATCGGATTCATTTACTCATTGAACGCGCCGAACATACCTAACCGATAACAGCGCGGAAACTCCCGAATGCAGATTCGGTTTCGGTCGTAGTTTCGGCAAGTTTGCCGCCGAAAACGAAACTAAACCGAAACTCGTGTTTTTACCGAAACTCAACCGAAAACGAAACCGAAACCGAATATTCGGTCGGACACTACATTTACCGTTTGACGGGACGCCGCCGCGTATTTTTAAAGGAAATTGAAAAACTTGTCTTGATCGTCGGGTGTGAAATCGCTATGCACGATATAATTTGCTGTTATAAGCTTGTTAGCGACAAGGGAAACTTTGACACTTTGATCTTTTATTCAGAGATTTGTCCTCAATATCTTCAAAGTAAACGTCTTGAAATATTAACCAATAAAGTCAAACACATAGGCTAGGTTGCACAATCTTACTTTAACTTGCATAAAAAAAAGCAAAAAAGCTATAACAAACGTCAAAAGTCTGTCAAATAGGCACTTACAGGGCTTACTTAACACCAGGTACGATTGCGGTCAAATACCTACCTTGTCCTGCATAAAAAAAAACTCCATACTAAAAACACCGGTTATAAGTAGCTACGGTTAAATTAAGGTGGTGCAACTCTTTAAAACCTTGTGTGTACTTGTTCTTGTACGAGTATTACCTTACTCATTATCACTTGTGTTTTCCTTATTAAAGTCCTAGTCCCAATAACTTTTCTTTCCTTTCTTGCAGAACTTCAGTTGGCTAGTGCTGAATTGAAACATTGCAAGCTTCCTTTTTAATTATCTAGCTGTTGCACTCAAAAATAACTTGTTTATTTGCGCTAATTTAATGTAGCTTATACACCAAACCCGCCGACATGATCGCCGGGCGATACGCGCGTCGACTTGATTCTTTTGATATAAAGCCACCAGACTGAAGGCGGACTTGGTGTGTAGGTTCCATAAGTAACACAACTGGTCTTCAACTCCATTTTTATCAGACCCTCTTTTTGATTACAGAAACTCCACCTCCACTCGCCACCAGCGTTCCAAGTAGAAAGGATCAAGGGCAGCAACTGCGGCAGCCGGATGTGCGTGTGGGGCTCCAAGGGAGTCACTGTCATGGAGCTCCCGGCGCGGTGGGGCCGCTCGGGCCTGTTCGAGTCGGGCAACTACTCCATCCTGTGCAAGTAAGTGTTTTTTACATCTGGATAAGACAGTTAGCTGTCCTCCAGGACTAATCAATCTTAAATGGCTTATTGGCCCTATATCTGGCTAAGGAAGAGCTGGACTTAATAAAAGAACAGGTTGACATCAGCGACTTTTAATATTGACGTTGTGAGGGAGACAAAAGGGCGTTCCCAGTAGAAAGGATCAAGCAGCAGGATGTGCGTTGGCTAAGGAACAGCCTGCCTTCACAAGCTCCAGCTTCATATACTCTTGGTGTTATGTGGGACACAAAAGGGTTCTCGCTTTGCAACAGCCTCCTTTCATAGAAGAAAGGATCAAGGGCAGCAACTGTGGCAGCAGGATGTGCGTGTGGGGCTCCAATGGGGTCACCGTAATGGAGTTCCTGGCGCGATGGGGCCGCTCGGGCCTGTTCGAGTCGGGCAACTACTCCATACTGTGCAAGTGAGTGGCTTGTTGCATCCTACGTTCTCAGAAGAACAAATTGACTTGACACTAACTACTTAAGACTTTTTGTAGAACACCAAAGGGTCTCCTCAAAGTTTAATTATTGTATTAAATTGTACCTTCTGTTTTACCAGTGATTAGTGTATTGCAGTTTGCACTTGGCCCTCTCTTGACCAATAAGTGTGTCAAATAATCTGAAACATTTTTAAATAAACAGTTTCAAATCGTTTAACGATCAGAATACATGCCAATAGCGAACCTTTCCTAAGCCTAGTACTGAAGCAATGTTTGAGACATTTATCGGTGAAAAAAACTGAAGGCGAAAGTTTAATTAAAGGTACAGTTTACAGTTTTTACCTTCGATTTAAAACTTCCGATTCTAAGGACCTTTTCACAAATTGCATCAGACCTTCAAGACTAAAATAGCGTTAAAGATACATAGTGTAGAAATCAAAGGAACCTACGAACAATCAGCCAGCTAGTTAATTAAAGGCGTTATTGTCGCAGACGGACGGCAAACAGATCGCCCTGCGCAAACAGCTGTCTCATAGGAACTGACGTGCAGACATCGATTTACAAGGTACAAATAAGAAGCTGATGGTTTAAAGATTATCTTTATCGCTTCATTTACCTAAATGGAAAGAAAGAAGTCGAAAACCCAATCAATCACAGTTTACAGTCAATAATGATAATCATTAGAACAAATAATTGAAAGTTTAGATCTTTCTTAACGTTTTGTAATAATAACATACAACATAATTTAACGTAGAAGTTAGTTTCTTAAGGGCAGCCAAAAGTTCCAATAAGTAGAGGTAGTCGAAAAGATGATGTATCCCCAATAATTACACATTAATTTTAAAAAATCTTCTTAAATTCATTAATATCAATTGACGATCGGTCAAAAGAGAGATGCAGGTTATGGCGCGAGAGAGCTGATCTCCCCTGCCCTTTTGTCCCTATATCCGAGAGTCCTCCACCTAGACATGAGCTCCCCTGGCTTACCTGGAAGTCTTTAAATAGACTTCGGACGCAGGTTGGCCGTAGTAAGGACAATCTGGTCAGGTGGGGATTCTTGAATGGCTCAAACATGCGGGTGTGGATTTGTTCCCCAGTCGATGAAGCACATGATGTCGGATGATGAGGATTTAATGAATTCTGCTGACAACGCCACTCTTGTAGCGGAGTTTTGGGCTAACACTGTGTAGGTTAAAATTTTCCTATAAGTAAGTAGGTACATTAACTATTCAACGCCCTCGTTTTTCTTCCTTACAAGTTCTCGTGTTATAATTAACTAGAAATTTCCTTTACAAATCCCGCGTCATCTTTAGATTAACTTTACTAATTTCGAATGCAAAATCTTCGAGACGTCAAAGTTGGCTGCGAAGTCAAACTAACTGCGGCATTAGCGTATTATCCATAAAACTAATATAAGCCATAAAACGTGAAGACGCTTAATCGTTTATAATGGTACAGTTACACTGAAAGATACGATTCCGATTCGACTGAATTAGTCAATTACACATCGCTAGATACAGAGCAATGAAGATTCGATCATATTCAAATTCAAAACGTTTATTGCATGTCACATTACAATTTATATGTTGTTGCAAAATAGAGATTATGTGAGAAGTCCATCAAATGCTGGTGAAGGAATCCTGTCAAAAACGGACACCATGTTTATGATGTCAGCGAAGTGTTCACCTGTGGGTTTGTAAACTGCGAGGATTTGTAGGTCCACCATCAAATATCAAAACGAGACGTAGTAGAATTTGAACTTGAACGCCAATAGATTTTCAATTATGAGTGGTTTATCCGCAGCATAGACACTCTCATCTTTGATTGACATTTTTCTCTGACTAACTCCTAGATTTCTGATCTCTGCTGGTTAGTCCTCATTTCTAGATTTAAGTAGATAGCTGATAGCAGCAATCTATCTTACTCTTACAACAATGTTGTATGTAGTAACATCCAAATCGTGAGACCACCTTACGACATCCCCACGACTCCAATCCTACTGTATCAGTTCACCTCGCAGACTTATGATAATGGCAGCTAAAGGCTCGGCTCGGCGCGCCGGTTAGTATTAATCCCCACAACTAATATTAGCAATAAACAGCCCCTTTCGGCTAATTATGCTAAGATGTTGGGAGTTGCCGTCTGCACTCGGATCACAGTTGCGAGTTGCAGGCTACGTGGACGATCTTGCGAGCCACAGAGTAAAGTTTTGCAGTACAAGGAAATAGTAATCCATTTTTTAAGATTTCCAGTTCGAGAATTGAAAAATGTCATCAGCGTTCATCGTTTCAGCCAATGACGTCCACTGCTGGACAAAGGCCACCCCCAAGGGTTTCCATTACGAACATTCCTGCGACTAGGTGGACCGACGATCTGTTAAAGGTCGCGGAAAGTACCCGGATGAAAATAGTTTGCTAAGGTAATTAAAATATCATCCATGTAACCATTATCATACATAATTACCATAAAATTAACAAGCTCTCATTATTAGTGGAAAATACCCATTCATAATATTTCCACACTTCTAATTGCGAGAATACTGTACGAAATAAATAGGTAATGATTTTATTAAATTAGGAGTTCTAATTTAATAAAATAATTTAATAAAAAGATGCGGGCAGCGCAGGACCGTTCATTGTGGAAAACGTCGTCATTTAGCTGAAACGACGAGGAGTTCTAAATGACTCTACTAAAAATGAAAAGGATCTACTAAATGCATATTTTACAAACATTCCATATCGTCGCAGATGACCGCTGTCCCTGCGACGACCAAACCCCGCAAACCTGGGAACACCTACTTACTCAGTGCCCTAGATTCACCACACAAAGATTCGCACACGAAACCACTTCCCGCTTGTTAAGAATTAACCCCTACAATCTCGAAGAAATTACCAGCAAAGAAGACACAACAAAAAGCTTTAAAGTCTACGTATCATACATTGTTAGCAGTCTAAAAGATTTTAACAAAACTTAAACAATCATACATTTATAACATCAATCACTGCCTTGCAATTGGAGTACTCCACTAGCTCCAATTTCAAGTGCATTCCAATAGCACTTACTTACAAAAAAAAAAACAGTTATTCTTTGAAAGTATCCGCGCTCGATATTTATTGATTTATACTATTCTCAATTAGAAAAGTACAGAAGAAGTACAGAAGTTGAAAAAAATCTTGGGTATTAAGATAAACGTATCGCGTTTCTCTATTTTTTTCAACTTTGCTCTCCGAAAGTAAAATTTTAAGTATCTTAGGTAAAAATTAACCCCTCCAGTCTGTGTCCAATCGGGTAGCGTACCGCACACAAGCACCGGGCTGTATTTTCTTTGATAACCCGTTATCGCCCGGCGTTCGGTGCATCCCGAATCTTCGCAAATCTCTCCGCTTACCGGGATTGTTCGGACTTTTTACAGGATCCAACTTTGCGGGAACGAGTTTGCGAAGATCATTAATGATGTTGTAAGGTCGATGTTTATTTGCAGCTCTCATCTTGCAAAAACTTTGGTATCTTCTGATATTTTGCCTATTTGTTCAGAATTCTTGGAAGAAGGAACATACTCAGAAAATCTGCCGGTGATTATGTATTGTTGAATGTTTAGACTGATTAGATTTATTAATGGCTAATCACTATAATTACATAAGCTACTCGTACTCGTGTATAGTCTCAAGCGCAGGGAACCGTTAATTCTATCCCTATTTTGAAATTAAAATAAGTAATCCCTATTTTATGCCTCTTGTAGGCCCAGGATGCGCGCCAAGATAAACTTTTATTGCGGCATTTTATCGACTTTACGCGATAAGCCCATACATTTATCGTCTAAAATCGTCGACAAAAGTGTATCATGCCGCACATCCTAGCCCGGTGGTAACTATTCCTGTCAAAAAACTGTTATACTTATCCGTATTTAAGTCGTCATTTTATTTTCGATTCCCCAATCTATCGGCGGATACAATAAAAACTGAAAACAACGTCCAATTTAATCAAGACACAGTTTAAGACATTACTTACGGTTCCCACACCGCCACCATCGGTACAAGCCAATCTGAATGCACAAATCCAAAAACATTATCCCACCCCCGAAGCCCGTCTGGATGCGGGCAAATCTTCGAATTAATTTTACTGCGGAAATATGCAAATTCGGAGATATAGCCGCCTAATAACATGTACAAAAGAGTGGTGACTCGAGAGCGAAAACTGTAGAGTATGCGCGTGTTGACGTTGGCAATGTTTTCTGCCTAAGGAGAACGAGCCTCGCAGAAGACAATGTTTTTTTTATTTCAACTATAGGCAGCGAATTGACCATCAGAATCGCATCTTGATGTGCTATCTTGGATTGTAACTAACGTGCGTTGTAGATGCCCATTCAATATTTTGTAGAATGACATAGTGAACCTTACATAATATTTTATTTGGAATTTCCTAAATCATTGTAATTACGTTTTAATCTGAAATTATGCAACACATAAATTAATAATATCATAAACTGATTCTTACTCAAATTCATTGCCCTTAAAGTCAGTCAGTTAAGTGAAACGTAAGG